TCTGTCTCTCTGTCTCTCTCTGTCTGTCTGGCGAGTGCACGTGCCCTACAGCGAAAATCTCTCCAAAAAAAAAAAAGATTTGGGGTACGCATACACGTGCACCTGGCGTGTTTTTCAAGGCACCATGGTCTGGGATTCAAACCGTGATTGGCCACGTGGGATCTAGCTCCCTTAACCTCTAGACCATGGGGCTGGCCCATAGCACCTGATTTAGAGCCCCTCTCTGTGCTTATCTGCTGCCATATCTCTGGGTACACAAGGGTGGGGAGGCAGGTGGGGTGGGGTGGATAAGGATTGGATGAGACCCGTATCCCCGTGGACCCGGGAGGGGACAGGCTTCAAGGAGAGTGAGAAACACCAGGCAGTTCTCCAGGAGGGAGCAGCCACCCAGTGAGGACAGGTCGGCCTCCTTACCCACAAGGCACTGGGGGTCGTGGTGACCAGGACGGGTGGGGATGAAGCAGTGGGCAGCATGGTTGTCTGACCAAGGCTTCTCTCTCCCGGGCCCAGGCGACATCTTCCAGAAGCCGTATGTGTCTGGGGAGGCAGACGCGGCCTCGCGGGAGCTGACGGGCTCCGAGGACTACCTACTGCTGGCCTGCGATGGCTTCTTCGATGTTGTCTCCCACCAGGAAGTCTCCGGCCTGGTCCAGAGCCACCTGGTCCGGCAGCAGGGCAGCGGGCTCCACGTGGCCGAGGAACTAGTGGCCGAGGCCCGGGACCGGGGCTCCCACGACAACATCACAGTCATGGTGGTCTTCCTCAGGGACCCCCAAGAGCTGCTGGAGGGTGGGGGCCAGGGGGCAGGGGACACCCGGGCAGGAGTGAGAAGCCAGGACTTGCCCTCTGGCCTCTCAGAGCCTGAGACCAATGCTCCACAGAGGAGCTAGGTGGTCCTGGGTGCCCACCCAGCCTCCACCCCCTCAGAGGCCTAGGATCCGATGGTCGGCAGGGGGCACCCGCTCTCACGTGCACCTGGAGCGCTGCCCCTGAACCCCCAGCCGCTCAAGCTGTGGCCTGCCCTGGGGGCTCCAGAACTGCATCAGGGACACTTAGAAGAATGTCCTCGCCCAAGAAAAGATGGCGCAGGAGACGGACCGGCTTGCTCCCAGCTCCCATCAGGGCAGGGGTGGGACTGGAGGCCGCAGGCACCTGGTGGCAGCCAACCAACGACACCGTGTGTGGGACCCACAGGCAGACCCCGGAGCCCTGATGCCTTCAAGGGCACCTTGAGGTCAGGCCCAGCAGGCAGGTGTCTAGCCCAAGTTTTCCGTCGCTGCTGCAGTGGGTGTGCCGTGGCTGGGGAGATCATATTGACAGACAGGTCTGGGGGGGTCCTGGTTGGCCACGCTGGCTTCCCAAAGAAGAGAGCCCCAGTGGTCTGATCCGCGGCGGCCACCAGCCGTTCCACGTCAGCCCGGTACGTTCCGGTCCCACCAGGGCCTTCCCGCCCTGTCTTCCCTCGCGTACCCTGGGAAGGTGAAACTCAGATGCAGCCGTGCAGTTTGGGGGTTTGGTATTATTTTCCCAGGGAAACGTCGTATCCAGAAGCAGTATTTCAGGTTCTAGCTTTGTCTTATCAGTGCCAAGATATCCCAATCGTGTCATATAATTTAAGCAGAGCTTAGTGTTTATTTTATTCCTTAGAAAATGTATTTACTTTTTTTTTCCCCCTAACTTTTTCTGGAAGCCTTTTTTTTTTTTTTTTTTGCAGTATTATTGAATTTCTTTTCTAAATCAGGATTGAAACAGAACTTTTTCCAGGTGGTGTTGCTAAAGCCACGCAAGTGCCTTAAACAGCTTCAGAGGCGGCCGGAGCCGCTGCTGTCTGATGGTTCTGAGAGGCATAGTGAAGTTTTTACAGAAGCGGGATTCGTTTTGCTGGGGAGGCATGGTGTGGGCTAGAAATTGTTCTGGAAGAGCGCTTTCTGCCTCTCTGTGACACTAAGCACCCCCAAGACCCTCCCCAAGGTGGTTGGCAGGAGTCAGGCCATCTGTGGCACTGTCTGGGCCTAGCCCTCAGGGCTCTGGGGGTCCAGGGTGACCGGCCACCTTCTGGTCTTGCTACTTGAATCTCTGGCTGGGTCCCAGGCAGAGAGACCCTGTTGCTGTTGGATCAGAACAGTCCAGAATGATTGATGTGTCTGTAATCAGATTGGTTTCATTGGGAAAGACAAGCCTGGCAAGCCCAGAGGCCGCCTGTGGGTCTCTGGCAAGCCCGGAGACAGGAGGGATGCCACCAAGAATCAGAGGCCGCCTGGCTGTGAGGGCCCTGCGGGTGTGCTCAGGGTCCACCTGCAGACAGCAGGGTCGCAGAGCGTCTCTGCCCTTCTTAAACCTGCAGAAGGGGCCCGTGCGAGAGAGCCTGCCCCTCCCGAGGTGAGGCAAGTCCGCCATTCAGAGAAAAATGACAGCGCTGGCTTCAGCCAAGGGGCTTCCGCCTGCAGTCAGCACTCAGCCCATCCCACGGCAGGTGGGGACATTGAGGCCTGTGGTCAGAGCCTCACTTGAGGTCTCCTGGTAAAAAGCAGCTTAAACACAGTCACGGTCATGGGTGAATGGACAGCCACCAACAGGGCCCGGGTGTTGCTCAGCCTCCCTGGAAGGCCCCACTGTCGTCTGGGGCCGTAAGCAGGGCCTCTTGCCCGTGGGTCTGGTCTCTGCCTTTTCTTTGCTAACTTTGTTCCCTTCGTTGCAAAAGCGTGGAGTTTTACCCCAGAAGGGTTTGGGTCACCCCATCTGGTGGTCCAATTCTTATCCTGGCCCAAGTCGCTACAAGACCTTCTCCTTGCAGCCTCAACCTACAGGGAAGCCCCTTCCCTGGGGTTGTCTGCGTGCCCCACCCTGAGCGGGGCTGCAGCCAGAACAGCTGTACCATGCCCGGCCCAAGTCCCCGCCTCCTGGGGCAGCGTTAGAGCTGCTGCCTTCCGTCTTGACAGAGGCTGGACTGGGAGCCACCAGCTGTCCTGACTCCCGGGCCATCCCCTCTTCAGGCCATAGTCGCAAGAGGTCCCCTAGCCAGGGACTGTGGTCTGGGACTGTCAGTCCTCTTCTCAAATCCCAACCATGCCGCTCGCTCCCCACGTGAGCTGAGCAAGGCGTTACACAAACTCCAGGCCTCAGTTTCCCTCCTGAGTCCGCAGCGGCTCCGGCCTGGAATTCTGCAGGGGCTACTCGAGGTGAGCCTGGTGCATCCTGGGGAGATGCCGCCAGCACGCGGGGGCCCTCCCCACCGTCGGCAGGGAGAGGTGATTAAGTATTATTAGTGTCTATTCTTGACTTGGAGTGGGTTGGCAAAGACTCACTGCAGACGCCAGCACCGTCCGTGGCAGACACACTGGGGAGACGGGTCTCTGCCTTGCCAGTGTAGCTGGTTTCCAGCCGAGGTTTGCAGGGGTGGCCTGGGGAGGAGGGGCAGGAGGGCACAGCCAGGCTCCCCAATCACCAGGAGTCCTGAAGGCAGACCCTGCCCGTCCTCGGAACCCAGAGAGGGAGCTCAGTGTGGGGTGCAGGGGCAGGGTCTCAAGTCCACGGGAGAAGCACTACAGTCGGCCTTGGGCCAGCCCCTGCCCTTCCTGTGGCCAGCATGTCCTTGGGCCTCCTCCCAACCCTCCCCCACCCCCAACTGTGGCCTTGAGCTCGGGTATGGGTGACCGGCTACGGCTACTTCAGTATTCCCAGGGCTGAGAGGTCAGCCCTGGCCTAGGCCTGGCCACCAGGCAAGCTACACGGAGGTCAAGTGGGCTTTGCATAAAATAGGCGTTTGTGGGGTTTGGTTTCTGGCTCCAGAGTCCCGAGCTTCTCGCCAAGGCCCCACAGCTTTGCCAAACTCGCCGAGCTTCGCCATTCACGTGCCGTGCGGGTCTTGCCGAAGGTTTATCTGCACCTCTCGGTGGGCTTCCTGGGGGTGTGTTCCCATGTGCGAGGAGTCTTGTTCCAAGACGGAATGACTTCCCCCTGCCTTTGGGGACAAGTCTCAAGATAAAGGGGCCTATTGGGGGTCTCCCAGGGACCCACAGAAGTGTCAATAAACCACAAACTCTGGAACTGGTCGCAGTGTCCTGCTCTCTCTTCCCACCTCTGAATCCTGGTCCCTGGGACGGCAGGGTGTGTCCTTTCGACTGTCCCTGCACCGAGGGCGGAGTTCTGGGCAGAGCCCTGCAGCCCCTGGGCCCCTCTACCCTGCCAGCCAGGTCTGGTTTTCATCCTGACCCTCAGACCCCACCCCCAGCAGCAGCCAGAGACATTGGGGAACGACAGCGCCATCTGGTGGCCCGTTGTTGCAGCCAGAGGCCTGAAGTGCCCTGGTGGCCCCTCCCTGTGTGGGTCAAGGCTAGGCAGAGCTGCTCCTGCAGAGAGAGAGACTTTTGCCATAGGGCGCATGTGCATGGGGATGGGAAGGGGGAGACAGACAGTGAGAGGGAAAATGAGAAGTCACTCCCGGGGGCATGGCCACGTTGTAATCCCTTCTCCATTCTCCTCCTCAGAGTCCCGAGCTTCTCGCCAAGGCCCCACAGCTTTGCCAAACTCGCCGAGCTTCGCCATTCACGTGCCGTGCGGGTCTTGCCGAAGGTTTATCTGCACCTCTCGGTGGGCTTCCTGGGGGTGTGTTCCCATGTGCGAGGAGTCTTGTTCCAAGACGGAATGACTTCCCCCTGCCTTTGGGGACAAGTCTCAAGATAAAGGGGCCTATTGGGGGTCTCCCAGGGACCCACAGAAGTGTCAATAAACCACAAACTCTGGAACTGGTCGCAGTGTCCTGCTCTCTCTTCCCACCTCTGAATCCTGGTCCCTGGGACGGCAGGGTGTGTCCTTTCGACTGTCCCTGCACCGAGGGCGGAGTTCTGGGCAGAGCCCTGCAGCCCCTGGGCCCCTCTACCCTGCCAGCCAGGTCTGGTTTTCATCCTGACCCTCAGACCCCACCCCCAGCAGCAGCCAGAGACATTGGGGAACGACAGCGCCATCTGGTGGCCCGTTGTTGCAGCCAGAGGCCTGAAGTGCCCTGGTGGCCCCTCCCTGTGTGGGTCAAGGCTAGGCAGAGCTGCTCCTGCAGAGAGAGAGACTTTTGCCATAGGGCGCATGTGCATGGGGATGGGAAGGGGGAGACAGACAGTGAGAGGGAAAATGAGAAGTCACTCCCGGGGGCATGGCCACGTTGTAATCCCTTCTCCATTCTCCTCCTGGGATCTTGGGCACACATGCACAAGCGCCTGATGGGATTTTCAAGCGCCGGGTCCGGGATTCGAACCACAGTCAACCATGCAGGAGTCCAGCGATGTGTGTGCCATCTGCTGGCCCCAGACACCTCTCATGAGACCCACTTCAGAGCATCTCGGGGCTTTCTGGGCTCTGGATCCTATTATTTCAAGTCCAGGAAACAGGTAGCCAGCCCTGGGGCTACACCATCCAGTCCTTTAGCGGATGCACTGCCCCAAGCACCAGAAGGAGGGGCAAGCAGGCAGCCCACAGAGCTGGCCCCCAAGGCACTGCCTAAGACAAGGCGGGACCCGGCTTAACCCACGGGGTTTAGTTCCGCAGGGCCATGGGGTCTGAACCTTGGAAAGTTGGGCTTGCTGGGTCCCCTGTTCTCTAGCACTGGCTGGAAAAAGTAGTCCCAGCGCCAGAAGCCCTCTGCTCCCAGCTGAGCTAGGCCTCACGGGACCAGGACGACAGCAGAGCTGCCCCCACACGCTGCAGAGCCACGGCCCTGACACGCTGTCCAGGACTCCCCCACACCCGAGGAAGGCCCACACCAAGAGGCTAACTCACCCAGGGTAACCCCGAAAACCAGCTCCTGTCTGCATGTGGACCTCCGCTCCCTGTGGCACTCTGATCTGCCCAATTTATTTTTATTTAAGGTTTTTGTCATAGGGCACAAGCACTTGCCAGGGGGAAAGAGAGGGAAAGTGAGAACCCCTCCACCCCAGGGTGAAAGAGAGAGGGAAAGTGAGAACCCCTGCCCCCCAGGGGGATGGCCTCACCGCAGTTTCTTCTCCATTCTCCTCTCAGGAATTTGGACACATTCTTGCATGCACTCCTGGCATGATTTTCAAGATGCTGGGTCCTAGATTCAAACCGCGGTCGGCTATGCGGGAGTCCAGCGCCTTAACTTCCACACCACCTACTGCCCCTTCGTCTGCCTAATTTCTCCCAGTTGTTCTCAAATCACCTGGAGAGCCTTCAGTTCCCCTCCGCTGCCCAAGGCTGTGGTCTCCCATGTCCCCTAGCCCCCACTGCCTCTTCCTTTTAAAGAATTATTTCTTTAGGGACCAGCAGTTGGCGTAATAGCTATGTAGCTGGACTCCCATGTAGTCAACCATAGTTCAAGTCCTGGACCCGGTGGCTTAAACTCCACGGGGCATGTGTGCTTGCGTGCCCAAGATCTGGAGAGGAGAATGTGGCCATCCCCCCTGGGGGGTGATTTCTCGTTTTCTGTCTCTCTGTCTCTCTCTGTCTTTCTGGTGAGTGCATGCACCCTATAGCAAAAACCTCTCACAAATAATAATTATTATTTATTCTATTTGTTATTATTTTTAAAATTTGATCAGAGAGGGAGACAGAAAGAAAGGGTAAGTAAGAAAACAAGCCACCAGGTCTGAGACTCGAACAGCAGTTGATCGGCCACCTGGGAGTCCAGAGCCCCAAGCACCACGCCACCCGCGAGCCCCCATGCTGCCTTTTCTGTGTCACAGACAGGAGGCAGAGAGGGGGGGATCCTTGGAGAAGTGGGGGAACGGACCCGGAATGGGAGGGCCTGGTCCTGACCCCCCAGTCCCATGACTCACCCACCTGCATTCCCCTCCCAAGCCACGTGACTGCTCACAGCTCCCGGGAGCGCCTCCTCCCTAAGTATAGGCTGTCGTGCTTGTTCTCGAATGAATCCTTCCGTGCCTGAATCTTGTCTTCACAGCCAGATGGTGGCTCTGCGTTCTCTCCCTACCCCCCGCTTTCCTGGAGCTTGGAGCCCAGAGAGCACCCTCTCCGGGGCCACTAGGTGGGGGCAGGGGAAGCCTGGGGGTGACTCTGGCAGGCAGGGGCTGGAGCTGCCCAGAAGCTGAAGGTGCTGCACCGAGGGAGCAGGCTTCACGGTGGAGGTGTGGGTGGAGGGACACGAGCCAGGCTTCCTGTCAGGAGGGGCGACCTGGGGCCCCCCACAAGCCGCTGAGGCCATGGGGTCTGCCTTGGGAGCCAGGATGGGCCAGCTGGGCAGGAGGGGCCGCAGCTGGGGACACTTGGCACACCAAGCCGTGATGGCTCTTATGCTGGGACTCGGGCCGTCCTGTTCCTGGACATCTGAGCTGCCTAGGACCAAGGAGTGGGTGCCGCCCTGGTCCCGGCCCCAAGGGTCCATCCAGCTTCAGTAGAGGGTCCAGGCAGGACCCTTTATATTTTAAATATAAAAATCTTTATATTATTATTATTTTAAGTCCGCTCCTCTGCAGGTCACTGTCAAGCTCAGTCAATCTAGCCGAGGCAGGGAGACCTCTCCCTCACTCACCCTCCAGCCTCAGCAGGTTCAAGGACCACTCCCTCCTCTGCCCCAGGTCTTTCCTGCAAAAGGAGCTTGAGATTGGAGCCAGAAGGTGGCGTAGTGGTTAGGGCACTGGACTGCCACACGGCTGACCACAGTTTGAGTCCTGGACCTGGCGGCTCCCTTTCTCATTTTTCCTCTTTTCCCCTCTCTCTCTTTTTCTCTCTCTGTCTTTCTGGCTAGTGCATGTGCCCTATAGCAAAAAAAAAAAAAAAAAAAAAACTATC